AACTGGACTGAATGTTTCATTATAGTCCAAACCTTGTTGCTGATGAAATCCTTTAGCAACAAGCCTGGCTTTGTAATGATCAACCAAACCATCAAGTTTTCTTTTGATACGGAACACCCACTTACAGCCAACCAGGTTTTGAGAGGAATGAGGAGGTACCAAAGACCATGTACCGGTTTGAAGCAGGGCATTAAACTCCTCATGCATAGCTTGTCTCCAATGCAAAGACTTGGATGCTTGAAGATAGGTAGAAGGTGTAAAATCAGGGGATAAATGAGAGGGAATATGATGCTTAGTTGCTAAGAGAGCCTTAGGTTTGAAAATGCCCGATTTTGACCGAGTGGTCATGGGATGAATATTTGTAGTGGGTTGGATAGGTGATGATATAATTGATGAAGTAGGATCTAGAGGTAATATAATAGGTGATAATGTGTTCGATGCAGGTACAGTGTGTGTGGAAGAAGAGGATGAAGGAACAGGAGTGGGATTTGTGAAGGTTAAGGATGTAGGTATGGAAGGTTGAACAAAGGTAGGGGTAAAAGAAGGTGAAGACAAAGTGGCTTGCTGATGAAGAAAAGGAAATGTATGCTCATCAAATATAACATGCCTGAAAATATAGAATTTTCCAGTTTGAGCATCCAAACATCGATATCCTTTATGATTTAGACTGTAACCTAAGAAGACACAGGGTTTGCTCTTTGGATCAAATTTGGAAGAAGTGTATGGTTTGAGCCACGGGAAACATCTATAACCAAAGATCTAGATAGTTGTGTAATCTGGTGGTCTATGAAAAATAGATTCCCAAGGAGAAGATTTTACACCTGTGGGCATGCAATTAATGAGATACAAATGGAAAGAGCTTCAACCCAGTAGATGTAAGGAACCTGAGAAGCTGCAAGAATAGTGCGCGCAGTTTCAACCAAATGTCAGTGCTTTCTTTCAGCACATCCATTCTGTTATGGAGTATAAGGACAACTGAGTTGATGAGAAATCCCATGTTCTTGAAAAAAATGTGAGAAATTGTGATTTACAAACTCTCTACCAGAATCTGATCTCACTGTAATGATCTTGAATCCCAACAGGTTTTCAACCATAGTTTTGAAGTGAACAAAAATGCTATAAACTTCAGACTTGTACTTGAGGGGAAAAAACCAAGAATACTTGGTGAAATCATCAACCAAAATGAGGTAATAGCGTATCCATTAACAGAAGCAATGCGTGTAGGACCTCATACATCAGTATGTACTAGTTCAAGAAGCTTGCTTGTGTTACAAGGAACAGAAGTAAATGATTTTCTAGAACATTTGCCTAGAGCACAATTGGAACACACAAATTTATTTATCCTATCGGAGAGAGAAATACTAGTTTGAGAGACTAGTTTTTGTAGAATTTTGAAGGATGGATGACCCAGTCGTTGATGCCAGATATCTTGAGAAGATTGAGTACTTGCTACATAAGCAGATTGAGTGCCAACAACAGAAGGTGCAAGAAATGGATAGAATCCAACTTTGACAGGACCTTTAAAAAGCTCATTCCCCGATCCTTCACAGTAAAGTGAAAAGGATGTAGATGAATAGAACACCAATTATCAAGAATAAAACGATTTGCAGAAATCAAATCTTGTTTCATATCAAGAACATGTAACACATTGTGCAGGGAAAATGTATGATTAGATATAGTAAGTCTAGAAGAACCAGAATGAGTAATAGGCAAACCTTTGCCATCACCAATATAGACCTGCTCAAGACCATTGGAGGGTTCAGAATTCTGAAGATTGGTAGAGGAATTTGTCATGTGAGAGATTGCACCAATATCAAGAAGCCATGTAGGATTTGCAGAAAAGGTACCAGCATGAAATGCAGTCTAAGAATTCTTATTGCCATAACCAGGATTCATCCTCGATTGTACCTCTGATTGCCTTGGCGAGAGAAACTCTGACGAGAATTATTGAAAGATCGAGAAGTATTAGGGTGATTCTGTGAATTTCTAAGGTTGGAGAAACTGCAATCCATGCCACGGCCTTATGATGAGTTGGAATTCAAACCTTGTTAGACATAATACACCTGAGAATTTGAGTCACCAAGCGGTGTAGGAAGAATGCCTATGGATGAATTGTAAGCTTGAAACGGTGCCGATGATGAAACTTTCTTGCGACTATTTAATTGAACCTCTTTGCTAAGCAGTGAGCCATGGAGTTCATTAATGGTGGTTGAACCAAGACGAAATTGAATGGCATCCACAAAATAATCAAATTCAAGCAATAATCCATGAAGAATGATGGAGATAAGTTCCGAATCAGCAACTGGAGCTCCAACACTTGCAAGAGCGTCCGCAATTCCTTCAATCTGTTGAAGATAAGCAGCGGCGATGGAATCACCTATGGTGATTGTTCGGAGACGAGATCGCAGTTCATGAATATGTGAATGAGACACCGTTGCAAGGCGTGACTTCAATTTTGCCCAAAGTTCTCGAGCTGTTGTTACCCCCACAGTGTAAGGAATTAGAGTGTCCGAGAGGGTGGAATTGATCCAGATCAAAATGTTTTGATCATTCTCAAGAAGATATTTAGGTGGTGTCACCATTGATCCATCAACAAATCCAGTGAGATTGTACTGGTGGAAAATCGGTGCAAAGAAATCACTCTAGGTGAGCCAATTTATGGTTGTCAATTTGATTGGAACCAGCGATCCAATGTTTTGGATTGTGAGCGAAGAACTGACCGAATTAGGGCACGAATTTGGGGTTGAAGAATGTGTGAGATGAGGCTGAGAGATAGAGTCAGAGGAAGGCGAAGGAGGTGCCGCCATTGTTTATGGCTTAGGGTTTAGAGAGAAATATCGAGAAATCACAGAGAAGCGGAAGAGAAGGATCGGCGGTGGTCGTTAGACACCAGCGATTGATACCATGTTAGAATCTAGAGAGGTTTTAGGAAGAGAAAATGTAGAGAGAAAGTAAAATAATATTGTGTATATTTCCATCATATCAATAAGATTACACTTAGGTATATATATACCAGTATTCACACAGAATAACCATCTATCTTAATGACTAAGTAATGTAGTTTGTTATTGTAACAAACTACAACAGTATCACTCATTGTTATTTTACAATACTACCCTTAATACCATCTACATAAGAAGCAACCATCTTCACCATTTCCTTCCAGAATTGGTTCTGTCTTGAAAAGTCTCTACATCCTCAATCCACAAGAGAAAACTTCGGTAAAATCACTTCCCAGCAAAATAGGAATACCTTCAACATCAACTAAATTAGGTTGTCCATGAGCGAATCTCATACCGTGTTCCCCTTCAATATTTGGTACTCCCTTACGAACAACATTCGCTTAGGGCTTTGCCTCTCCCATGATCAATTACCATTAGAACAAGACAAATCCTTTCTCTAATACCAGTCGACGTAGCATGAGCATAGAAGGGAAACAAATGTAAACCCTCAAAGAACAAAGTTTTTTAGAATCCACCAGAGTTGGGAGAAAACAAAAAGGTTTATTGAACAATACTTGAATGATAATTACAATAGCAGCTATACATCTTAAATAGACATAACTTGACCCTTGGGAAGTTTAGGGGAGTCTTAGGGAATGTAAAAAAGTAAATCGGACGTAAAACGAAAAGTCTGATTTTTATTACAAACTTTAAAATTCAGTTTTGGAATTCTAAAATATCGTTTTTGGCATTAAACACGATAGGTTCATGGATAAACCACAAGTTTTGTTCTACTTGTGATTCTCTTTAAAACGACATAGTACACGCCAAATTCTAACACTGAAATATTTCTTACTGCCTTTTCTGTTGCTAGATTGACTGAATCCATATTTCCCAACTTTAATTTTTCTTTTCAAATTTTGAAATCCTTTTTTTCTTCTTTATATTTCTTCATCATAATTGACCCATATTTGATCCTACATCACTAGAAAAACACTTGAATTGTTTCTTGCAAGAAGCACATAACTGGTGCTTCTTGCATAAAGTACTTCCAGTGATTTTTGAACGAAAAAAAAAATTGTCTTTAAAAGCACTTTTACTCCATATCAGTTTCTTGGTCACTGAGGCTATCACCCAATTGCCACCTTTTTATTTGTTTGTAATGTTGGATGAAATACAACTCTACCATTTCTTTTTTAAAAAAATGCTTTAGGAAATTTAATATTCTGACTAAAAAAATATAAAAAAATAAAAAATAGCTAATTTACTTGATTAGTTATAAAGCCTTTTATATATTCTGTAGTGTTATATAATCATTTTCTACAGTAATCAGAAATCTCTTTGTTCTCTCTACCCGTCCTCAATTTCTCACTTTCTAGGGTTATATTCTTGAATGTTATCATTTTATTCATTGAAGTTCTTTTTATATCATTTTATTCTTGAATGATATATTCTGAGCACGAGGAGTGTGATAGCAACAGCCCGGCGCATGAAAGAGGCATTTTCTTGCATACATAGACATCAATGTCCCAAGTCCTAACAATAAGCCTACTATTATGGAACATGAGACTTGCAATGATAATTCAGTTAAAATCAACCAAATAACATATAGTAACTAAGTATATATTTATACATTAACTTTTGACTCACAAATTAAAAGAACTTGCCGTCAAAAAGAGTCAATTTATTAAAAGAAATATCACCAAACTGTAAAGCAACAACTTATAAATACTAAAACATGAAACTGTAACCAATTATGAGAGATACAAGAAAGGCTGCCTTCCTTTTCATTTGTATCTCTGGTAATGTTATAACTGCTCGGACATGAAGAAAGCATTTTCCTGCATATATTTGGGTCCCAATGCCTACTCTTCGGACCCTCTCACTGACCAAACAAACAAAACAAAAAAAGTAACATATTCTAACAATAATCCCTACGATTATGGAACACAAGTTTCGTACATCAATACATGATAATCAAGTTAATTAAACACAACATATGGTAATTAAGTACACATACGTAAACCCTATATATAAATGACCTCCTCCCTTCCCATCTTTGGTATTCCACAACATTAATTAACCAAACAATGGCAAAGATCATAGCCATTCTGATGCTATTACTGGTTGCTGGGTCAGCCATGGGAGATGGAGATGATCGTCCTAAAGTACCCTACTGCCCTATCGTCCTCGACAACTTGACCCCTTGCCTTCCTTACGTACTCGAAAATGAAGCGAAGCCAGCCAAGGTTTGCTGTAATGGCGTCCTAGACCTGAGCCACTCTGCAGGAAATAAGGAAGGTCGACAAAATATATGTGACTGCATCAAGGCTGAAGCTATTTTGATGAACATGCCTCTTGATAATTTTTCTAAATTTTCTTCTCTCCCTAAAGCCTGTGGCCTATTAATCAACCTTCCACCCATCTCCAATAACACCGATTGTTCCACGTAATCATCACTCTCTGGCTCTATTTCTGTCTCTTTCTTCTATATGCAATCTTAATTTTTTTTACTTATATAAAAAAAAAATTAATGACTGATTCTGGTTTCTTTATATATTACAGGGTTGATTGAAGATTTAATGGTGAAGGAGTGGTGCTTCCAGAGTTTGGCAACTGAATAAATGTGTTTCCAATTTCCAGCGTGTTCTTAAAATTGGGATGTAAAACGAATAATTTGTCTTCTCTTTTCTTTTGAAAGAAAAATAAATGTAATAAGAATAAAACAACCTTCATGGGTCCGTGAGTATTTTAATAAAAACAAGGTATCAGTACCATTTAATTTGAACGTTAAATTGTAATGCATAAATTAACAGTGTAATCTAACGTCCACACCACGAAGGGCAATCTTGGTATAGTAATATATACCTACGTCATTTGATGTAATTAATATAATGTTAAATAATTATGTAACCTTGGAGCATATGAACGATTACGGTATAACCTACCATCCAAACCATAAATAGCAACCTTAGTATAGTAAAACCAATGTTAATAATTTGGTGTAATTAAATATAACGTCAAGATAATTATGTAACTTTGGAGTATAAATTTGAACGACTTACAATGTAACCTTACCTTAGAGTACTTTGTATGTTGACATAATTTTGTAACATGATTACGATGTTGTGTAAGTTCATAACTCTCCCCAGTAATAACATACGTCTATATTGTACTAGCACGTCATTGGTATAATAACACATTAATTTTGTAATTCTATCACGTTGAAGTACAAAAATCTACCTTGACAATGTAACAAAACATCCACAATGTCAATACCAACCTCGTTATAGTAATAATCACGTTATTCTTTGTCATTAACTTGAATTTTATCATAATTATGTAATCTTGGAGAGTGATTTTGAACCATTATAACATATCTGAAATATTACCGATACGTCTGATACCTTTAACTCTAAGAAATTAGGTCCACAAAGCTTGTTCAATGCCAACCGCCATCGCCTAGTTTCATCCCTTGCCTGAAACACACAAAGGGGAAACTTTAATGAGCAAAACTTAGTAATGGCTAACAAACAATCGTACCACGAAAGAAATATTGGTCAACAAAACTAAAATTACAACCTATGTACATGCCATGCCATGTGATAAGATTTGACCAAAACCAATACATGCATTTAGAAAATCCTTTCTTTGAAAACCTTCTTTAAAATCTTGTTATAACATGTAATTCTTTTTGAAAATGCGTCTTATTACTTTAATTCAAAGAAAACTCAATGCATGTAAAAGCATGAATTTCTACTTTATCATGTTATGAACATACATAGAATAATATTCACAACATTCACAATACAACCTGCACAAAGAATCTATAATCACGCTTGAATTCAAATTTGGTCAAACATACCAAAAACAAAACATAAACGCAGAGAGGCAACCACAGCCGGCCCGCCTCTTTTGTAACTGCTAAATTTCGCATTGAAATTTTATTGTTTTTGATATAAGCGATGTAGAATACTAAATTCATCTAAATTACGAGGAGAGAAATTTAGTTGTAGGTGTAAAGGTATAGCGCATGCTCTAGACAACTTGGCTTAAAATTAGTCTATACTTGATCTAATTTTATACTTTCATTTGATCAGGCAACAGCCCAACCATGAAATCCTTTTTCCTGCGTATTATACAAATTTCTCGTCTCAACTCTTAACAATAACCCCCACAATATGGTTCTTGACATTTACATGACAATAATTAAATTTTAACCACACAAACAAACACCCCATTTATCTGAAAATAAACTTTCATCGCATTAACACAACACATCAACTTAACTAATCAATATTAAGCCCCAAATATGACTCGTCTAACTAGGATCATTGCTATTGTTCTTTTGTTTGTGACTTCTGCTTCAACCAGGGGCACTGTGCCCTCCTGTCCGGACATTATGAACCGGTTGACCCCATGCATCTCCCACCTGCTGCAGGGGTGGCAAAGCCGCCTCCGGCTTGCTGTAACGGTGTGCAATACCTCACCAAGTACTCAAACGGCAGGGAAGATAGGCGGGCTATATGTGGCTGCATCAAAGGTGCAGCTAATATGATGGGGTCTATTGATTTTTCTCTCATTTCTGATCTGCCTAGCAAGTGTGGTGTTTGTGTTAACCTTCCACCTATCTCAAGAAACATCGATTGTTCCCAGTAAATACTCTTTCGATTGCTATAATTAACCTTCTCCCCTTCCTTTTATATATGGAAAGGGAAACACTGATTTTGGTTTTCTTTTGCAGGGTTTGAAAATAGAAGAAGGAGAGTTTGGTGATGTTTGAATAGATGTGGTTGTGTTCAAGGAAATTAATGGGGTTAATTACATAGATTTGAAATGTAAAACAAATGTGTGGAAAAAGAAATTGCAATTTGAAAGTAATGGAACATGTGGATCATATGAATACCAGCTTGTTTTACTTGTGGAAGGTGAAATTGCTTGCATCTACTCTTATATTTGCAACTCCAACATCATTACTTTTTTTTTAATTTTATTATTATTAGACCAAACTCAACTCTGGGCTAAATGCTATTTTTTAGATTTTATTCTCCCCTCCCAACCCAACCCATGCTAAATGTGTGGGCTAAAAGTTAAAAACCAAATAAAAACCAAATTCTCCCCAAGATTTAGCCCAGAAAATGGTGTGGGCACCACTAGCGAGACCCCACCCACATGGCTATATCTCCCAGGATTTATTGAATCCAACGGCTGAGATTGAATATAATCAAATCTAACAATAGAAAAAAGATCTAATGGCACAAATTTAAATCCAATGGCTAAAATAATTAAAAAATTTATTTAACTCAAAATTCACCAAAATTTATTGATTTTTCAATATTTATCGGAATTTAAATTTTTTAGGTTAAAATGTTCATAAAATTAATTTATGATAGTGTACATAATTTTTTTTAAATTACTTTAAAAGAAAAAAATTAGCCTAAATTTATTATTTAATAATCTCAGGCTAAAAATTTTAGGCCATAAGGGTTAGAGTAGAAAAACTGTTTCTGGATTAAAAATTTTAGGTTTTAGCCCAATGGTTGGAGATGGTCTTAAGGGGTCGAATGGTTCCAAACTATTACAATAATTTAGAAGAAGAGGAAGTTTTGAAACTAGAATTCCTGGATAGAAACCCAACACCATATCCATTAGGATATTAGACCACATGCATAAGTTGAGTGTGTGCAAAAAAGGGGAAAGCCGGCACAATTTTTCCTTGGGATAGTACTTGCAATTCCAACTCTACATTTGCATGCACATGTTGACATCTTTTGCTATGGTCGGAAGTTGATAATCTTCTAATAAGCGACTAATCTTTTTATGTGAATAGAGAGATATTAACATGAATATATATTTGTAGAATCTCTCTAAATATAAATCTAAGATGATTAGGTTTTAGAAGTCTCAAAACCACCTTGCAAAACAAATTGCAAATTGGCAAAAACTAACAAGTCTAGCCGTAAAAATTCACTTCTAAGTTTTTTTTTTTTTGTTCTTTTTGCTCAAAATCAAATTTCAAAGTGGCACACACTTAAGTCTCTAAGCAAATAGTGTTTTATCGTAGTGGCAGAAAATAATTATGTTTGTGCACTTCAGAGGAAACTCAATCATAACCGATCCTCCTCTCCCCTAGTAAGTATTAACTAACCATTTAACCCGCTAATGATATTGTTTGTAAAAAAAATCTTTAACAGAATAGCTTATCATGAAATAATTGTATGTGACATTGGGGTAATTAGGTGAATGTAAAAAAAATCTCTCAAAGATTTTCCGAAGTCATTTTTCCAAATCCTTTCAAAAAATGTTAACATTAAAAGACTAATGTGCCCTTCAACAACTAAAAGGCCAACGAACTTAAACGCGGGCACAAACCTACCCGCGCCGCCATTGCTCTGCTTCATCTCAGTTCCACCACTCTCGAACAGCAAAATCCCGGACTCTCCCTCCCTCCCTCCCTCCTCTCCTCTTTCGCTCTCCTTTCTCTCTCCCCCTCTCTCGTACGCTCCAACGGTCAACCCAATAAAAAAATTCAATTCGATTCAAGATCCCATTTTCCTGGAGAATTCGTTATTAGGGGTTTATTAGGGTTTAAAGATTCCATCTTTTCTCACTAATTCGTTTCAAATCTTGCCGGATAGAGGTATTCATATACATCAATGGCTTACCGGCGGAGCCTCACGACGACGAGCAGTATAGCTCGACGGCACCAGTACCATCCGTCCGTCACTCACATCCTCCGCGACGACGACCGCAAGCAAGATGTCGTTTCCGAGCACGCATCTGCTTCGCCGATATTGAATCAATTTCTCAGCCAGAAGCGGTTTTTCGGAAACAATTTGAGCAGAGTGTCGGGTTTCGGCGGTGGGTTCGCTCAGGATAGGAGGATTTCGAATGCTCTGCTTTCGTCCACTTCGGGATTCGCGTTCTCTCGATCCATGTCGTCGGCTTCGGAGAAGGTTGAGCTGTTGAGTGATGTATCGGGAGTTTTATCCGACACTGGGATCGAAGGCTTGACTTCTCAGGTACCGGCAATGAGCGAGGTGGCGGTTGCTGCCGCGGATTCGTGGTTGCCAGTTAAGGGCTTGCAGTACTTTATTGAAGCTGTGCATGTTCACACTGGCTTGAATTGGTTAGAAAGCTATCTGCGTATGCTTTTTTGTTAAATTTTAATTATTTGTTGTGATATTAAACCAATTATTTAAATTTGTGAAATTGAAAAAAGTGAAGGGAGTAACTCACTAGATGAAACCATAGACCTCATAGATAGCAGATCCTAACTCTGAGTTTGTAAAAGTTTGTTGATTGTTGTTAACATCTTGTTAAAGACGGAAGAGCTCAATGACGATGTGAATGGATTAGTTAGAGCAGTCTCTTAATCTATTTTTGTATGAATTCACAGTTGTATGTTCGGTTTTGGCAGTGTATTACATTATGATTGTGTGTATATGTATTGTGTCGATTACTCTTCAGGTGGGCTGCCATAGCGATAACAACTATTTTGATTCGGACTGCCACGGTTCCGCTTTTGATTAATCAACTTAAAGCAACCTCAAAACTCTCTGTAAGTTTGTTGTTGTTAGTGCATTTCTTCTAAACTTGTACGATCACACCAAGCATGTTAACCACCTCTTATAGTCTCTCGGTGCGTCATTTTTTACAAGCTTTAAGCGACTGTACTCATACTTTAGTAAGTGTTCATTTTCTCGCCTGGAGGTGGTTCTTCTGTTGACTTTTGTGCTTTCTGCAGCTCATGAAGCCTCAACTTGAAGAATTGAAGCAAGAGATGCA